CAGTTTTATGAAGGGGGACACTGGGACATGCTTTCTCCCACTTTTCTTTCAGTCCAGATCACATGTCTTTGTGGGCGGTAGCAGTCCCGGACCACTGGGAAATGTTAAGTGTGAAATTAATATGAGTTTTTTTTTAAGATTTTATTTATTTATTATGTATACAACATTCTGCTTCCATGTCTATCTGCACACCAGAAGAGGGCATCAGATCACATAACGGATGGCTGTGAGCCACCGTGTGGTTGCTGGGAATTGAACTCAGGACCTCTGGAAGAGCAGTCAGTGCTCTTAACCTCTGAGCCATCTCTGAAGCCCGAATATGAGTTATTGCATGGAACAGTTTTATTAAAATTACTTTGATTTTTGGCAAAGATCCCTTGAATTGTGGCTATGGTAGGCTGGCAAAGATCTTTGTTAGAAAGTGAGAACATGTAGGGGTGAAATGTTGTTTGCAGCTTGCTTCAAATGATTCGGAAAAGCATTGCGTGCACAATATCTGGGACCTAGCTATACTAAAAAGTGGTTGTTTGCCTGTTTTTTAAACTGAAACTCAGTAACTAGGTGTTCTGGGGTTTTTTTGTTTTGTTTTGTTTTGTTTTGTTTTAATTTGCTAAGCCTGGCAAAGCTTAGCTTCTGAAACCTGGCCTCAGGCAATGTACCTGTGCCCATTTTTCTAAGTATTTACTTAGTAAATATTAATAGGTAAATGTTCAGTATTAAAACATTTGAGGTCATTCTAATATTCAATTTTAATATGAAAATTTTACTTACAAATAAGTAAATATTTAATATTTAAAGCATTTTTATTGCCAGACATGGTAGCATATGCCTTTAACCCCAGCACTCAGGAGGCAGAGGCAGGCAGATATCTGGATTTCAATGCCAGCCTGGTCTATATAGTGAGTTCCAGGCTAGCCAGGGCTACAAAGTGAGACCCTACTTAAAAAGTAATAAATAAATACAAACATTTTTCTTTTTTAATAATTTATTTATTATAGCCAGGTGGTGGCTATAATATAATATTAAAGGCCCATGCCTTTAATCCCAGCACTCAGGAGGAGAGGCAAGTGATCTCTGTGAGTTTGAGGCCAGCCCAGTCTACAGAGTGAGTGCCAGGATAGGCTCCAAAGCTACAGAGAAACCCTGTCTCAAAAAACAACAAAAATATTTATTTTATGTGCATGTATGTCTGTGTGAAGGTGTCAGATCTTGGAGTTACAGACAGCTGTTAGCTATGTGGGTGCCAGGAATCGAACCTGGGTCCTCTGGAAGAGCAGCCAGTGCTCTTAAATGCTGACCCAGCTCTCCAGCCCCGCAAACATTTTTCTTTATTTATGTTGTATATGTACCCCTTTGCCCTTAGCTTTATTGTTGTGTGTGTGCCAGGACACGCATGTAAAAGTCTGAAGACAGCTTTGTGGAGTCGTTTCTCCTACCTTTACATGGCTCTGGGGATTGAACTTGGGTCTAGACTTGTACAGCAAGCACCTTTACCCATGGAGCCATCTTCCCACAAAGTCTTTGGTTTTTATTATTCTAATTTTCTTCTTTTTTTTTTTTTTCAGAATAGGGTCTGTGTTGCCCCAGCTGGCCTCAAACTCACAGACATCTGCCTAAATCTGCCTCCTGAGTGCTGGAATTAAAGGCATGTGCTACCATGCTTGGCGTTTGTTTGTTTGTTTGGTTTTGTTTGTCAGTGCCCCACCTCCAACCCTTCCCCTTGGTTTGAGATGAGTTTCTCTTTGTATCCTTGGCTGTCCCGCAACTCGCTCTGTAGATCAGACTGGCCTCAAACTCACAGAGATCCCCTGCCTACGCCTCCTGAGTGCTGGGACTAAAAATGTGTGTAATCACTGCCTAACAGGTTTGTTTGTTTTTGTGTGTGTGTGTGTGTGTGTGTGTGTGTGTGTGTGAGCAAGCACAAGCCTGCTCGAAGTCAAAGGACAGTGAGGGTTAGTGCTCTCCTTCCAACATGCTGGTCCTGGGGATCAAACTCAGGTCATCAGGAGTGACCACAATGTATCTCTCCCCACTGGGCCATCTCACCTAATGTTCTGGTTTTTAAAGCTAGGCTTTGATTACACAGCCCAGGCTAGCCTCAGATAGAACTGTTGATCCTCCTTTTTCTTCCTGGGTTTTTCATCACAATGCCTAACAAAAATTTTTAAAAAATTATGTGTACAAGTGTTTGCTGTATACCATGTGCATACCTGGTGCCCAAGGAAAGCAGAAGGTGGCATTGGATCCTCTGGAAATGGAGTGATGGATGGTTATGAGCTACCATGTGGGCACTGAGACCCAAACCCAGGTCCTCTGCAAGAGCAGCAAGCGTTCTGAACCACTGAGCCAGCTCCCCAGCCTCCTGGCCCAAACCTTTTTAGTATAGTCTCCAGAACTGGCACAGCCCCTTCATTTTTCAGAATTTTGGAGGGCGAGGGAGCATCCCTGATGTTGTATTTTGCAGAAAAACTGAACCTCCATAGAACAGCCTTTTGGGTCCAGTGTCGAGTGAGCAACAAGCCGCTGGGGAGATCCCCAACACCCCAATCCATCCATTCATCCACCAGGGGCCTGAAGGGTCCTGGCGTCTTTGTTCCAGATGTCCTTTCCCTGAAGCTGGCCTCTCCTGTGTCCCTCTTCTCTGATTGTGGTCCCTAGCCCTGAATCCCACTGGCTCCCGACAAGTGTCTTTGTCACCCCTGAGTGTCCCCGTGTCCTCCACCTCTCTGTCCCATGCTAGCCACTGCACCGTGACAGTTCCTACTCTGCCTCGCCTCCTCTGCCTGCTGTACCCTCTGTCCTGTGCTCTTCCACAATCCTCTTTTCGTGGGTCACCTTTGCATCTCCTCCTTCCTAACTCCTTAAGTTTCGGGGAGAAGGGTTTCAGGGTAGGAAGGACTGCCTGGTCACGGGGAGAAGGGAGTCTAAGGGTTCTGGGGGTTGAGTGGTCCATTCCAGGTGGCAGGGGTCTAAAGGGCACTTCCTGCCAGGGAGGGAGGCCCTCACCCCCGAGGCCAGACTGGAAAATGTGACGTCAGAGAGGCTGTTGTAAGGGGTGTGGGGACACAGGAACAGAAGAAATTTGACGCCTCTCCAGAGGATCTTCCAGAGAGGTTGGGACTCTCTCTCTCCCAGTCGCGTCTCCCTTAATTTGTTCTCTAATCCAGAGTTCTGATGGGTATGTCTCTGAGAGCCCTGAACCTCTGCCTTCTGGCCTGGGTCTCCCCAACTTCTATAAGGTGGTAGGCTTGGGCATTTCCTTTCTGATATTTTTCTTCTTTTGGAGACAGTATCATTCTGTAGTTCTGGCTAGCCTGTAACTTGTTATGTAGACCGGGCTGGCATTTAATTCAGTTTCTGCCTCTGCCTTCCAGGGCTGGGATTAAAGGTGTGCACCACCACACCCAGCCTTTTTTTTTTTTTTTTTTTTTTTTTTTGAGCCTGGGTCTTATCCTGTGGAACCCTTGGCAGTCACCCTGTGTATGCCATCACCCCCAGTGCAGGAATTCCGTTTTGTAGGTTTTTGAGACAGGGTCTTGCTATGCAACTCAGACTGTCCTTGAATGCATGGTCATCCTGCCTCAGCCTCCCAAGTGTTGGGCTTTTCCTTATGCATCACCTCAGGCATCAGGGCTCTAGTGTCAACCTTTCATCCAGGCCTGGTTTGGTGCCTAAGCGTTGTCTCAGCTTCCTAGACTCAGTGCTATCTTCATAGAAACATGAGCCCAGGCCTGGTGCCCAAGGTCTAGAGGGCATTCTTCAAACTTGAAGCTAGGGATAGATCCCAGAGATGCACACAGCTAATAGGTTTGGAGAGGGAACGAGAAATAGGAACTCAGAAGCCTGTAAGAGATGCTGACTAGGATGCAGCAAACAAACTCATCTTAAGCCCACGGGGTGAGGAAGGCAGTGTAGAGTTTCAGCCAGAGATGGTAGTTCACACTGGGATCCCAGCACTTGGGGGACCGAGGCAGGAGTGCCAAGTTTGAGGCCAAAGCTAGCTCATGGCCAGACCGCCTGAAAACACACTTCCTTGCTGGGCTGTGCAGAAGCAGGTGATCTTTGAGCTCCAGGCCAGCCTGGTCTACAATTCCTCTAGGATGCTTCTATCCTCAGGCTAGTTCCTGGGCTTCCCAATCCACGCCCCCCCCATGTCCAGGCCTGTCTGGCTTGGGGGGGGGGGGGGTCCATGGAGACAGTGTATCACGAGCTGTAGAAAACCACAGAATCCCTAGCACTGCCTAGATCCTAGGATAGATGGAAGCCTGCCAGTGTGCACTCTATAAAGGCAGGGCTTAGATGACCCCCAACTCCCTACCTTCAGGGTCAAAAGCACAGGCTGGAGTCAGAAACATGGACCCAAGCTAGGCTTGGCTGTGACCTGCCACAGCCCCTCTTCCTCGGACAGAATGGGCTACACTAACCATGCACTGGAGATTTTAAGAGGTCAGAGGGTAGAGGGAAGGAAGGCTCCGATGGTAGGGACCTGATTAGTACACATCAAGTCCCGAATTCAATGCCCAGTACCCCAGGCACTTGGTGTGGTAGTGCAGGCATGTAATCCTAGAGCTCTGGGTCTCCCTTTTAAAACAAGTTCTTGCTATGCAGCCCCGGTTAGCCTCAAATGCTTGTTTCTCCCGCCTCTGTCTCCGTCTCCCAAGTGCTTGGAGTTCAGTTGTGAACCACATCCAGGAACATGAGATTCTACCAGATGAAACCAAGAGAGGAAGCTGGGGAGACGACTCTGTGTAAAGACGCTTGTCACTAAATCTGAGTACCAGTTTGATCCCTGGAACTCAGGAATCCTCTGACTTATACACACCCCACACACACATGAAATAAATGCTTAAAAAACCAAAACCAAAACAAGTAATGGGCACACACTAGAGGCTTGACATTGCACATCTGAATGTTTGCTGGGTAAACTTTCCAAGTTCTGTCTTCTCAGGTGGGGGTGAGCCAAGCCTTGTCAGCCGACAGTTTCTAAGCCCAGTCAGGGATATGGAAATGAAAGTAAATTTATTGAAACTGGTTTTGGGACAGGTGAATAGACGGCTGGGATTTCCCACAAACATCTGTGGGAAGGAGCTAGCGCCTGGCTGGGTGGGAGCAAGTGCCAAGCCACAGACCCTATCTGAGGCCCAACTTTTTCTTTTCCTTCTGCTTCTTGCGGACCACATCCAGGTTCCGGTCCTTCCACATGCTTTTTCGAAGCTTGATGGGCCGTGAGCCCACGTACTTCCCTGTGGGAACGGAAGATTCCAGGTCAGGCTTATGTCAGGTGTCTACCACGCCATCCCCGGGACAGACCTCACCCACCGTTCATCTCACGCATGGCGCGCACATAGTCACTGGGGTCCTTGAAGCTGACAAAGCCATAGCCCTTGGTTTTGCCTGTGCGCTTGTCACGGATCACCTTAGCCTTAAGGAAGGATGGGAACCGGCTGACTGCCCGAGCCAAGATGTCATCATTCACCTCATTGCCCAGGTCCCCACAGAAGATCCGGAAGTCATCTGGGATGAGAAGAAGAGGTCAGAGCATCCCCAGCGCTCCTCCTCCCACCCCCGGTCTCTGCCCTGGGACCCTCAGCCCAAGTGCTCCTCCTCCCACCCTCAGTAATAACTGCCAGTATCCACGTAGCTGTGACCACCTGTGACAGGCCACCTGTTAGGTAAGCACCCGAGCCCCCCCAGGCCCTTTCCCACGGAGGCAGAGGTACCAACTGCTACCTGAACTCACACATCAAGCAGAGCTGAGACCAATTTGAGCATCTGACTCCAGAGTCTCTGGCACCCTATTTTTCAAACAGGTTCTTGTTATGCAGTAGCCCAGGCTAGCCTCCCGAGTGCTAGGACTACAGATGTGAACAACCACACCCAGCCAGAGTCTACATCTTAACCTTAACGGAATAGCCTTTCCTCACCTCCAGTGGTCATGGTCACTTCCTTCTGCAGTGAAGCCTCACCTCTAGCCTTTCTCCTTGGTCTTGTGTGGCCTGCCACTCACCAGCCTTCTGGCACAATAGCACGCTCTTCCTGAGCGGGGCCACCCCTGCAAGTCTGCTCTGACTGCGCAGTGACATGGGAACACACTGCCTGCCCACCGGTCTCGGGCTTATTCCCAGGGCCTGCACCTCTCCTGGGCATGCTCTTCAATTACTTTCTCCTTAGAATAGGGGTGTGAGGCTTGCATGACCAAGTAAACTGTGACAGACCACAGCAAGACTGCTGCGGAGGAGAGGCAGCAGTCTTGGGCTGGGGTGAAGGGCAGTACGCTCTGTCCTCGGTTATGGCTGAAGCTGCCCCATGGTTTCCATAACGGTTAAGATACTATTTATGAATGAGTTAGGCTACCCCAGGAAGAAATAGTCTGACAACCCAGAGTGAGATTTTCTAGCAAGACTATTAACCCAGACACACATAAGTCAGATGTGGTGGCAAGACCACCTTCATTTAAAGAGAGGTGTATCCAGGAACCCACAAGCTGACCCCTCAGCTACAACATTTTTGGTGAGGGTGAAAGGGTCTCACTATGTAGCCTTGGCTGGCCTTGAACACACAGAGATCCACCTGCCTCTGCCTCCGGAGTACTGGGATCAAAGCATGCGCAAACACACCAGGTCAGCTAAGACACCTTTGAGGGCAAGCACTTTTCTCACTTCTGACAAGATCCACTCTTCCTACTGAAGGTGACAGTCTGGGCAAAGTCTCCAGGGGAGTTCAAGCCAGCAGAGTGGCCACCAGACCCTCCCCTGCCCACCTGGCTTTATGGCCATGAAGCTGGGCCAACACAAGGGTGCTGGCTGGAATCTAGACACCCTCTCTCCCCACAGTTCTCTGCACGAATGACTACGAATTTCTTCTGGGGTTAGGACTTAGCTAGCAGTTAGGTGCTTTTGCCTAAAAAAATATACACTTTTTTTTTTTTTTTTTTTTTGAGACGGAGACAGGGTCTCACTATGTATCTGTGGTTGACATGGAGTTACTATGTAACCAGGCTGCTTCTGAACTCACAGCCATCTGGCTATGGAGTGTTGGCTGGCTTGGAACCGGCTATGGAGGCCAGGCTGGCCTTGAATTCCCAAGATTTGCCTGCTTCTGAAGTGTGTCACCATACCTGGCCTAAGATTCATTTTTTATTTTGAGACAGGGTTTTCCTGATCTGGCTGTCCTGGAACTCACTCCGGTCTCAAACTCACAGAGATCCGCCTGCCTCTGCCTCCTGAGTGCTGGGATTAAAGACGTGCGCCACCACCGCCCGGCGCATGTGTCTGTGCGTGGTAGGTGCACACTTGAGTGCTGGTGTCCCTGAAGTCTACCAGAAAGTGTCAGATGCCCTGAGCTGGAGTTACGAGTAGTTGTGACCAGAGAACTAACTCGGGGCCTCTCAAAAGGCCTGTATACTCTTTAGCCACTGAAGCAACACTCGGAGTATCAGCTTGCTTAACTTTTTCTGCAGTATTGGAGATGGAACTCAGGGGCTCACACATGCTAGGCAAGTGCTCCACCACTGAGTTATATGCCCAGGCTCCACAGGCCAATTTAATAAAAGAGACAGAGTAACGTTAGCACTTGGGAGGTTGGGGTCAGAGGATGTGAGTTCAGCCCGGCATTGGCGGTGTACGCCTTTAATCCCAGCACTCGGGAGGCAGAGGCAGGCGGATCTCTGTGAGTTCGAGACCAGCCTGGTCTACAAGAGCGAGTGCCAGGATGGCCTCCAAAGCCACAGAGAAACCCTGTCTTGAAAAACCAAAAAAAAACCAAAAAACCAAAAAAAAAAACAAAAAAACTAAAAAGAAAGAAAAGAAAAGAGGATGTAAGTTCAAAACTGGCCTTGACTACGTAGAAGAGCCGGTCTCAACACCAAAATAAAGTTACTGTTATTTTCTTATCTGTGTTAGTAAGTATTATGACACGAAAGAATGTCTTTCTTAGAGGTGGATACTGAGGCGCTGGCTGAGGATGTCAAGCTGACTGCGTGCATGGGGTCAATCCATAACACCGCATAAACTGAAGAGTGGTGGCAAATGCCAGCCCTTGAGACGTAGAAAAAAGACAGTCAGAACTTCAAGGTCTTACTTGGCTACACAAGGCCTTGCCTCACAAAACAACAAGAGTAATAATTTCACTTGTTTCAAATAATAAGGAATGAGGGGACAGGGCCTAACATGTGCACGGCCCTGGGATTCATCCCCAGCATACTGTGTGCATGCGCACACACACTCTCTCTCAAACACACAGGAATAAAGTAAACAGAGAGCTGTTAATGGTGGCATCTAGGCAGCAGGTAGGCTATACATTGTATACACAGAATCCTTTGACCTCCAGGAGCCAGGTTCCCCATGAGTGAGAGCCTGAAACGCCTATAATCCACTCACTCAGGGGACTGAGCCGGAGGATGGAAAGCTACGGCCGGCCTGGTCACAGAGAAGGAGATCCTGTCTCCAACCAAACCAAGCCAAAGCCCTCGAGAACAATTCTGTCCACCACGTCCCACCTGAGTGGAGACCCACCCTCCAGGCATTGTGGCCCCTCTTCCCTTTCCCCGTGGAGCCTGTCCCTGGATGGGTGATGTCCAGCCGCGCGCTCCCGCTGGCCCGCTCACTCACCGGCATCCCACTCCAGCAGACTGGGGTCCTCCCAGCTGCTCCCGGCTGCTGTGCGAATGCAGCGCTTCAGTTTCTCCGGTTTGCCTTTCTTCTTGTCCTCACCCAGCGGCTCTGGGACCTGGAGGGGACAGGGGGAGGTGGTGGGAGTCTTGTGCTCTGCGCTATCTCCAGCCCTGGCCC